ATTGTTGACAATAAAATTTCCTACAACTTTTGTTATAAAAGTTTATTTCCAACATACTCTGATTCCCGAATGCTACCATTAACAACATGGCACCAATCATTGTATGGCATTAAAATACAACTATTTATCTCGATATCTATGCATATGAGAGCAAAAGAGTAAGAGAGCAATATTGTTAAGAATGAAGTTTACTACAATTTTTGTTCTAAAAGTTTTTAGCAGCATGCTCCTAATCCGAAATGCTACCATAACATCTTATAAAGCAACCAAATTTATCAAATTTTCATATTTTCGTATTTATCTCGGTATCTATGCATCTGAGATCAAAAGTGCAAGAGAGCAATATTGTTAAGAATAAAATTTTCTACTACTTTTGTTCTAAAAGTTTTTTTCCAACATGCTCCCATTCCCGAGTGCTACCATAACATCTTATAAAACAACGAAATTTATCAAATTTTCATATTTTCGTATTTATCTCGGTATCTATACATCTGAGATCAAAAGTGCAAGAGAGCAATATTGTTAAGAATAAAATTTTCTACTACTTTTGTTCTAAAAGTTGTTTTGCAACATGCTCCCATTCCCGAGTGCTACCATAATATCTTATAAAACAACGAAATTCATCATATTTTCGTATTTATCTCGATATCTATGCATCTGACAGCAAAAGTGCAAGAGAGCAATATTGTTAAGAATAAAATTTTCAACTACTTTTGTTCTAAAAGTTTTTTTCCAACATGCTCCCATTCCCGAGTGCTACCATAACATCTTATAAAACAACGAAATTTGTCAAATTTTCATATTTTCTTATTTATCTCGGTATCTATGCATCTGAGATCAAAAGTGCAAAAGAGCAATATTGTTAAGAATAAAATTTTCTACTACTTTTGTTCTAAAAGTTTTTTTCCAACATGCTCCCATTCCCGAGTGCTACCATAACATTTTATAAAACAACGAAATTTATCAAATTTTCATATTTTCGTATTTATCTCGGTATCTATGCATCTGAGACCAAAAGTGCAAGAGAGCAATATTGTTAAGAATAGAATTTTCTACTACTTTTGTTCTAAAAGTTTTTTTCCAACATGCTCCCATTCCCGAGTGCTACCATAACATCTTATAAAACAACGAAATTTACCAAATTTTCATATTTTCGTATTTTTCTCGATATCTATGTATATCAGAGGAAAAGAGCAAGAGAGGAATATTGTTAACAATAAAATTTTCTACAACTTTTGTTCTAAAAGTTTTTTTGCAACATGCTCCCATTCCCGAGTGCTACCAATTTATCAAATTTTCATATTTTCGTATTTATCTCTATATCTATGCATCTGAGAGCAAAAGAACAAGAGAGCAATATTGTTAAGAATAAAATTTGCTACAACTCTTGTTCTAAAAGTTTTTTTATATCATGCTCCGATACGATTCATCGATCGAAATTCATCAAATTTTCATGTTACATCCAGTTAGCTTTCGTTAGTAATTAGATGGAGCGTTTCTGCCAACTCGTTATCATTCTATTGTATATGCATTGAACAGTCTGGGGTACTGTATACATCCTTGTCTTACGCCCTTTTGGACTTTAATGGGCCCAAAGGTGTAGGTCTTCAATCAAGTTTCCCAAATGACTTGGAACTTCCATTTCTAAAAGGATTTTTCAAGGGGTAGCTTAATTCTAATTGAGTTAAATAACAACATATATTTATATTAGGATAATAGGAAAAAGCGGGCTTTACGGGGTGAATGAGTAATAAATTATATTTGTTCAAAACGTTTAGTGTTTAATGGATTCTGTTAAAAATGATTCTCAAAAGTACCTTTTTTTGGTAAAATTGCCGGTGAAATCGACTGACTCTCAATAATCACTTCATTCGATCGTTCACCCTATTCTCGAGTAAGAAACGAAAAATAAAGAAACGATTGAAGACCACTGAAATGCTTCCGGTCAACCCCTGCCATCAGGATCTGGTAGCTTGAAAGGCGAAGTCGTTCTGTTCCCGGCGCCGTCAAATCTTGTCAAGTGCGCCGGATTCGGTTTTCGTTGAGACGCCGCAGCAGTTCCGGTAGCCGGGTCCGGGAGGTCCGGGGACCCGGTCACGTCCCTCCTCTCCCGCCCTCCCGAAACTTGATATCTCCCAAATCGTTTAAAGTAATGTAGGTATATTGAAATCCCTGCAGTCAGCAAAAGTGACAACAGGGCGTTAACGGTGACTTCGACTTACCCTTCGTCTCAACTCACCCTTCCTCCATGGATTCGGATCGCGCGATTACTGCAGATTACAACCGGGATTCCTCCGGAGGCACCTGAATTCCAGTGTGCATACGTCTCATTTTACACGGTCCGGATCGAAAAGCGACGAGGACGACGACATCGGGCATCGTAAAGAGACGTAGATCCTAAACGGAACTGGGATTTATGAAATCGACTTCAATCTACCCAAATCGACTCGGTTACAAAAACATCCAATCTCTTAATAAGATTTTATCTCGTCATTTTAAATAAAAGATTTTTTAATCAATAAATAACTAAATGAAATTGAACTAAAAACGAGATCACAATTTGATTAATAGCGAACTCGTTCTGCATAACATATTGTTGAATTGGAAGCCATCGGAATGTTGTTTTGCTCGGGAAGATAAAAAAAAAGAAAAAATAGAAATCGATGCGGAAAAAACCGCTTCTAATTTCCGATCGACCGAGCGGCTATGAATTCACAAAACGACGCTTCAGAACCGCTCAATTACCGCCAATTCCCTGTCGTTCGATGACAAATTCCTAGATATCTACGACTTCCATTGCATTTGATGTACACCCAAGAGGGTTTAATTTTTTATTTTATTTGGCTTCTTTTTTACTATTAAATACTGCTAATAGAAGACTAGATACTACTGGAAGACAACTAGGTAATGCTGGCCAACGATTTGATACTGCACGAGGAAGACAATATACTGCTGGAAGAATATACTAGACAGAAAACTAGTTACTGCTAAAGAAGACTAAATACTGCTAGAAGACAACTAGGTAATGCTGGCAAACGATTTGATACTGCTGGCAGAAGATATTTGTTACCACTGGAACATTATACTGATGACAGAAGATTAGATATCGGTAATAGAAGACTAAATGTTGTTGAAAGAGATCTAAATCAAATTAATTAAAGCATTTAATTTTCAGTAAACAATTTCTCAAAACGATATAACTAAGTTATTTCAAACATTTTGCTCAGTTGATTTGATTAATTTTGAAAGTGAAAAACAACTACATAAACAGAATAAAAATCCAATACAAAATTCAATTAAATACAGATAAAAAAGAAAATCAAAGTTTTGTGCGAACCATTTCAGTAGAAAAAAAAACTGGAACAATACAGCAATTGCCTATCAAAGCATTTTTTTAAAATACTAAATCGGTAAATTCAACAGTAAACATTTTTGACAGCAAAATATACTTTCAACGCTTTCGGATTGGGATCCAACAACACTCATATTCAGCGTCCGCAGGAGTCTAATCGAAAACCGTTTAATGACTGAATTAAACCACTTTTTCCGGAAGCTTTATCGGATTTTTTTACTAAGCCGCATATAAATTGCGCATTTCCCGTATTTGCTTTTAGAAAAAAATCGGTTTTAGTAAAAAAAATGTGAAATGTTTACTAAATTTCTTCGAAATCAGTGATGGGGACTTAAAAATCGTTTTTCTCAATCAAGTCAAACGTGTTCTAAAGTGATAAAAATCCTATTTCAATTTGGTTAGTCTGGCGAACGTGATTCGGAGGTTTCGCATCCCCGTTTTCAGTCCTCAGCTAATGAAAACAAATACCACCCTCCCGTCGCTTAGATGGGAAACATTAGTCCTGTCCCGGGAACCGTACGGACTTGGATTAACCGAGATAAATTAAAAGTACGCGAAATCATTGTAATCTGCACTGCCGCGGTAAATTATTGTTTCAATCACCGACACAACAGCTGCTATCTTGCGGATTTTCCTTAACTGAATTACATGTTATATCCATTTGGATTAATCGTGGAAACTCCAACACCAAATTCGTTACATTCACTTTAATTGGATAAATTAATGAAAAACAATTTTAAAACAAAACAATTTTTGCAAATCGTTCAACCTTAATCGGGGGATTTCGCCCTCCGGCTTCATTTCCCTTTCTAATCATACCGAAACGCCCTTCATTTCCTCCTTGACCTGTTGCAATTTATTAAAGGCGTTTTAACTTTGAAATAGGTACAAAAATCAAGATATAATTTTATATAAGTCTAACTAGTTTCGGCCCTTGGCCATCTCTCATCTTATCCATTTTACAAACGACAGCGGTAGGTAGCGCTAATTAGCATAAGATATCACTATGTTGCATATATTTATTGCACTAAAACTAGAACTAACACAAGACCTAGAACTAGAATTATTCTGGTTTAGCCGTCTTGAGAAACGTGCGGTTAAACCCCAATGTTTCTAGTTCTAGTGTTAGTTCTAATTTTGCACTAGCACTATCACTAGATTTTGCACAAGCACTTTTGGGTTTAACCGCACGTCTCTAAAGACGAATAGGTATAGTGTTAAGGTGGCTACACACGTAACTGCAACCTTGACAAGCATGCATCATCAATCTTTTTGTACAAGCATGTAAAATTTCCCTTCGACACCACACGATACAAGTATGCTTGAACAAGCGCCAGTTTGCGCTTAGACTATGTCGAGCTCAGACGACGATGTGCTCGCACTGGCTGCTCTTTGCCTTGTCCATAAAAGGAAAACGAGGAAGAAGAAACGTGATATATGGTGTAAAGAGTGGTTATTGAAAAGAAAAAGCTACTCCCATGTTAATTTACTGAGTGAATTGAAGATATATCCACGTGACTGGCATAATTATCTCAGAATGAACGAAGAAACTTATATGAACCTGCGCAAGCTTGCATGATTAAAATTCAATCCATCATCAAGCGGATTGCACAAGCAAAATGTTTGTGCAAAATTATCATACACACACTAAAGCTACATTTTTGTATTGCAATAAGTAACAATATAACCAAATCGTTCATTATTTTTTTGAAGTTTTACATAATTGTATTAATCATGTGGTGAGGTTACGAATAATAATTATAGAAATTTATTTTTGTATTAATAAAATGTTGTAAATATGTAGAATCCATTATGTATTGTTGACCGTTTACGTTTTTTATTGTATTTAATCCATGTAAAGTCGATACAAAGTAATTTTGTAGGATTTTGACAGTGACATAACCTCAAATTTCATTTTTCATTAATTTCTTATTGTAATTCATGTTTGTCCGGTTGAAACCATTGAAAGCGATAATCTTAGCATGTCAAGAACGAAAACCATCCATCATATAGGAGTTTTGATAAAGAATTGGACGAAAATCCAATTTGAATATATTTTTGAAGCTGGACGTTGAAATCTAAAAGAAAATGTTCCAAAATCAGTACAAACAAAGTTAAAGCAACAAAAGTATAACACTTCATGCGTAAATATTGTTAAAATAGAAATTTCAATAATTTTTGATAAAATTTAATTGGTGACATTTGACATTTCAAAGTTGGCTATACCGGAAAAATTTAAATTACGAATTTCAAGTTGAAGAATTTAACCAATCAGAAGACGTTATTTAAAACGTTTTTGCAATAAACAAAGGAAACTAGTAGATTTTAGTGTGATTTTGAACGTAACAAAGAGCGCATGCTAATTTTGTCCGCGATCATCATTGTGTCATAACCTCAAAAATGGTAAACTTATTATTTAATAAGTTAAATAAGAAGATTATTTGAATTAAAATTATTCACCTTTAATAATAAACAAGAAAATGAACTGGTTCCTGATCCAATTAATCCAGTATACCATTCCGAAGAATTATTCCATTCCAATCAAGAATCTTTGTTACCGATTCCTTTTGAAGAGTCCAAGTTTCCTTATCCGAGAACTTCAGTAATCTACAAGATTAAGTAAGCTAAGAAAATTATAATATATATATTTTCTGTGAAATTGCACTTACCTTAAATACGATTAATTTGAGTTATTATTTTGTTTGGTTATGTTATTACAATTTCATTACGTATAATTCAATTATTAAACCTGGTTAATTAATTTACATCGTATTAACTACAAGTTAAAAGATAATTATTAATTATTTCACTGAGAGTTTTGTTAAAATTTACTTATTTATTTTTGTACTCGTTTACTCGAGCGTTGAACCCACAAATAACCTCCAAGTCTCGCACTTACCTGAGTCATTTGAAAATTTGACAACGTTGTAGAACAGTGTTGAAAGTTAAAATGAATTAAATTTTTTTTTTGTTAATGCCCAACAATGGTAAAAATTAACTGAAAAACCTAAGAAGTTGTTTTCCTAAGAAGAATTTTCTTGATATTCGATAAATCGAGAAAATTGAAATTTTGAAATATTAAAACGTGTCCTTCTGCAAGTTGACATATCGAATAGAGAGTCAAATATTAAAAAGGCGTCAACGTCTCGCGAAAACCGAACGAAAAGATATTGGAGATATCCTTTATGTATCGGATTTACCTTTCCAGATACCTTCGTCGGCCAATTTTCATGCGGAATCCGCGTCTACAGAAAGTAAGAATATACCCAATTCAATAAATCTCCCACATTTTTCGTCGCAACCGCGAAACGAACAGAATAAAACCGAAAAAATATATTTAAAATTTTAAAATATAAACTTCTATTTCATATCTTGACAAAATTATATGCGGTAATTAAATTTCTACGCTGTATGGTTTACGGAAAAAATGGTTGATTGGTCATTGGGCTTTCGTGTGACACCTACGGGCTGCAAAACTAATTAAAAGTACCGAATGGTCGATTTTCATTGAACCGTGAGGTTGTTTGAAAGCCTGTCATTCGTGTGAAGCCGCACAGGAGAATTATAGTGCGGGTGTAGGGCACAAAACATTGCGGGAAAACTCGATTATCCGCGTTTTCCGAATCCGGGACTTCGAATTTTGAATGGTGCACGCGTAACCCGTGCAAACCGCATCCCGATAATCGTAAATAATAACGAATTTATTTTGATTCGAAAATACCGCATTTAATTCCCGGTATATTATATTAAACAATTTTTAAATAATTATGTTATCGATGCCTTTAATCTTGTTTGAATAACCGAATAGAACGATGTTTGAAAAATTATCAACGCGATCTCGAGCCCTTTTTTCTATAAATTAATTGAATGCTAAACGTCCGCGTGCAGTCGTCAAATGATGATAAGAACCAACCCGTTCTCCGGCGCGTAAATCATTAGGAAAATATTGTGGTCGAGATAGCGATGTTTTGGTGTGTAAAGACCGAAGTGGGGTTGACACGCGATCTCTTTTCTACGTTATAACCCCCCATTTACGTGTTGCCATTCTAAATCATTTAAATGTTTTATGTTTAATTTAAAAAAATATTTTTTGTAGGTACCTATTTCAAAGTTAACACAAAGCCTCTAATAAATTGCAACAGGTCAAGGAGGAAATAATTTCGGAAAAAGAAATGAAGCTGAAAAATAAATCTGCCACACATCATCATTTCTATAAATATGTCAATATCTCAATTATAGCGCCAAGGAATATCGGTTTTCTTTTGAACCCCAATTATAGCGTCAATAGTTGTCTGTATACCAAGTATACGATGTGTTATCTTAATCGTGTTACAGATCCAAGCCGAGGTCGCTTACGGGCGATACACGATAATAATAATAATAATAATAATAATGTTTATTAACCCATAGCACCATTAAAAACCCCAATAACAAAATACTTAAAAACTGAAATAAAACCACAATGAAATGCCATGAGTTAAAAAGGACCACGTCAGCATTCCCAGTGGGTCAGCTGTTTTTCATTGGTCCTTTTTCTACATTTTGTATAAATAAACTTAAACTTCATGACGGCAAACGGAAGTAGAAAGACTAGTTGTTACCAAAAACTTAAAATTAATACCAATTATACATAATAGTAAGACTAGCTTTCTAGTAAATAAGAAGAGCTAAGACAAGGAAAGGAGAAGAAACACGAAAAAACAATAAAAGAAAGAAAAAAGAGAAAAAACAACAAAAAAAAAAAAATTGATTCATATGTCATCACAATTCTGCTCATTCAATAACTCAGACCTATATATCACCCTGAAAACCCGCTCAGATTCCTGCAAGACCGAAAGTGGACAGTTATTCAACAAATTAGGCACACAATACGTGAAAGATCTTTTAAAAATTTCCAGTCGATGCTGGGGTATTGTTAACGTATGTCTGTGCCTAATATTAATATTATGAACGTCTGTTCGAAATTGAATTTTGTTGTATAAATATGGTGGACATTTGGTAGTCAAAACCTTATGGTAGAGGCAAGCAGAGTGAAGGGCCCTACGACGTGACATATTCAACCAGCCCACCCATTTTAAGGTGTATGAGATACTCGCATATTTCCTAATGCCATAAATAAAACGTAAGCACGCATTCTGAACTCTTTGAATTCTTACCTTGTGAATATTATCAATACAAGGGCCATATAATACATCACCGTAATTAAAGATCGAGAGAACCAGGGCGTCACACAAGCGTATCCGCAGTTGCTGTTCCAATAAATGCCTACTATTATAGAGCAATTTTAACGCTGCATATGCACGACGCAGTAGACTACCAATGTACGAGTCAAATCTAAGTTTACTGTCAATAATGATACCCAAATTCCTTGCACTTTCAGCAACCTGCAAAACATCAGAGTCAATCTTCAAGCTCAACCCATCCCTGACTTCGTCCAAAACACCCCGGCTCCCAAAGACCATCACCGATGACTTAGATGGATTTATCCTTAAGCTGTGCTCATTAGCAGTATTGACCAAGGCCTTCAAGTCAGCATTAATATTACTTTCAGCCACAGCTAGATTTGATGTTGGAAAAGTGTAGTATAATTGAATATCATCAGCATACATGTGCGCAGTACAGTGCTTTACAGCCAAACACAGTTGGGAAGTATAAATTGAAAACAGAATTGGGCCAAGAATAGAACCCTGCGGCACACCCGACACGACCTCAACTTGTGCAGATAACTCACCATTACAAGCTACTCGCTGTGAACGGTAACAAAGATAATTCTGAATAAGATTGAGAGCAGACCCCGACAGTCCAATATACCCAAGCACTCCAACCAGCAGCGAATGATGCAAAGTATCAAAAGCTTTGGAAAAGTCAAGCAAGACCAGAGCCGTGGCCAACCCGTCATCGATACCACGTAGAACATCATCCGTGATATCCAAAAGAGTCGTAGTGCAGCTATACCCAGAACGGAAACCCGACTGCAAGCTAGGTAGTATACAATGCGCATTTAAATGTGACCACAACCTAGTGGACAATAATCTTTCAAATACTTTAGAAAAGACCGGCAAAATACTTATAGGCCTAAGATCCTGCAAACAAGCAACCGTTCCAGTTTTAGGTACAGGTTTAACAAGAGCACCCCTCCACTGCCTCGGATAGACCGACCCCTCGATGCAAAAGTTGATAATGTGGCACATGTACGGCAGTGTCACCGGAGAACTTAATAAAAGCATCTGCTTCGTAACTCCATCACTACCAACAGCATTTGTTTTAATTCGATTAAGCGCTTCCAAAACCTCTTCCTCAGAAACTAAAGAAAAGGAAAATTCTGTAGAAACAGAAGATAATCTATTAGTATTGTAGAAGTGCAATAAGTTGGGATCACAATCATGTTGATTTTGAGAGGAAAGAAAAAAATTATTAATATCATCAGCATTTCCCACAGTAGACGGAATTGACTTCGTTTTAGCACCACATACTCCAAACGACTTGAGATTGTTCCAGAGTTCAATCAATATCCTAAGGATGATAAAACCTTGTATTCTTAACCTTCTTAATGATTTTCAAGAAAAATCATTAAAATATCAAGGGAATATTATAATAAATTGAAAATACCACAAGATAATACATAAAGCTCCTAAAAATTCAATCCCCACGTTTCTTTAGACGTCGAAAGTACTTCTTAAATAATTCCTGCTATCGCCAGATGAACTTTAAATATGCATTTCGCTTTTCCCCCATTTCACGCAACTCTCCTTTTCGACTCGGGCTAAATTTTCAAATCCCCTCTACTTAGATTTCAACGACACACTAACCTAGCGGAATTAATAAGCCGGATTTTGGACTTGTTTGAGTTGAAAATTTGATCGCGATCATCCAAAACGAAGCGAAGGAATCAAGAAGGGATATTGTAATCGCTAAAGTTGCCCGTAATGTCTAGATAATCTTGTTCATTAGCAGTCGTTGGGGTAACATCTGTAGACGAAGATTGAATAAGACTTCCTCCTGGTGGTCCATGGTAAAGTTAGTTTAGTTTAAACTAAATTCGAAATCGATCGGTTCGAGTTTACGAACAAATTCGAACAAAACTTTCAATACAAAAGGTAATCGATAACGAGTTAAGTTTGAGATTATGTGGACTGTTAAAAATATGTATTGAATTTATCATTTATATTGAAAAGCTGTTGTTTATTTTGATGTTTTGTTTTAGTCAATTGTATTTTTGTTTTCATTTGGGGATGAATCGAAACCAAGCCGTAATTAAAATGATTGGATTTTGTTGTCTTTTAATTATTTATTTAGAAAAACACGTTCATTTTCGATGTAATTTTATTCGCAAAACGACGAGTCATGTTTATTTTTCATTTATATTTGAAACAATTTCCTCCACGAAGCCAATTATAATTTAATTACCTTGGTAATAGTTTATCCTAGGAAATTAATATTTGTTCATAATTATTTTTTAATGTTAAATAACTAAAACTTTTAATTATTACATTTTTTTTATTTTGGGGGAGCGTTTATTAATCAAAACGTGAGTTTAGATGGCGTTAATTAGGAATAAACTACAGCAGCTTTAGGTTTCCTTTCAGTTAAAGCCTTCTGGCTTGATGTTTGTAAACGTTAAGAGTGGAATTTGCGGCTTTTGCACAAGAAGCCGGGCGAACCGAGCAATTTTTCCTTGGGTTTATGAATTTAGCCGGGAGAAAATTAAAGTTTTAACTCCCGCTCCGTGTGGGAAATGGGAAATTTTTATTAAAAACTAAGCCCGAAAGCGCCAATATTTGAATATCGAGCGCAAATTTTAATAACAAAAACATAATTTTCACCACCGAGAAATTTCCGCACCGTTAACTGATAGAATTATGCAAAAATTGATCTCCTACCAACTGAATTTTATAAAGTTTCTTTCAAGACGTATTTTCATACGCGGAAATTTTTAAAACTAAATTTACTCATTG